ATCTGATATATTACAATAAAACACTGGAAAGCATGAAATAATACTAATTAATTAAACTAATTGGTATAATATGACTGTATTAACATTGCATCTTGTTTCTAAATGGAGGACAATTTAGAGTGATATGAAGAGAGGAGGAACTGGATGTAATGGTTTTACTGTAAAGTTCAAGTTTGAACATTTTATTGGACTTGTCATTTATCAGCTCTTCTGTTTCATCTTCAATTATCGCTGCATCATTGTTGTGCAAAAACTTTAATGTAGCTTGTTTCTCAATCCGTTTTTATGGTATCAGCACAAAACTTGGACTACTTTATAATTATTGTAAGACAAGGGACATAATTCTGAAAGCAATATTTAAGGTGTTAATTTAGAATATTTGTCAAAATTACCAGTTAAGTAGAATAATTTTAAAAAACATTGATTGGTATCAAGATAAAACTTTATAGAATACATGTTTAATTTTTAAATTGACAAGATGTATTGCAAGGGTCATTATTCTTAAAGAAGTATTTTTGGAGTTATGCCTCTTTTTAACTAGAATTTTTGTTAAAACTTCTTATCAAGTAGGATAATTTAAAAAATATCAATGGGATTACTATGAAACTTTGAACACTGACTTTGACAGGGGGCATTATCCTTTAGAAGTTCATGAACTTTTTAGCTCTACTATTAGAAGAAGGGCTATCCTATTCATAGTGGCATTGGCACCCGCATAACTCTTCGGGTTTTTTATGCAACATCTTATCTCATCAACAGGTATTTGCTTGTAACTTTACACACTTAATTATGAATATAATAGTAGGTCTTTTTTCCAAGGCCCATAACCCCAGTATGGATATTGACAGAATTATGGCCCTTTCACACATAAGAATTTTTACCCCCAATATAGTTCACACCATTCCTAAAAGGATCCTGCATTCATTATCCCCTTTAAATGGCTACTGGGATGCACAATTCTTTACCACTTGCATCCAAGTGGATGCAGAAAATTGTAATGCTGATTCCATAAGTTAATAAATATTACTTAATATCATACAAATCCATTGCACCACATGAGTGTATGTTACATTGTAAGCACCATGATTTAGTAAGGTGTCGGACTATATGTATTTGAATTAGATTTTGGACATCCTGAATTAATGGTCATTTGTGGTTGGACCCTTATTGTTAATGAACCTGCATCCATTAGACACCTAGAAATTAAAAATGATCTAAATCCCTGATTGTTGCATTGTATCTTTTGAAAGATTTAAACAATTATCTTATAATTTGAATCACAAGTGTCATGACAACTGTATGCAGTCCAAGAAAAAAAACTTTCATAGATCTTAAATAAATAATATGATAATAAAATAAATAATATGATAATAAACATAGATCAAAGAATAATTTTAGATTTAATCTGTGTTATATATCTACAATGGAATGGCATGTTTGATGTTTATAAACTGTTAAATATAAACCTGTGGTGTTAGATACAAGATGAAGATGATTTGATTTGCAGATGTACAGACTGATAAAAAAAATGGTTAATTGGCACAGTAAACGCTTGTTTCAACACAAGTTTAGGTTTCCACTTTTTTTTGTTGTTGATATTTCTGTATCCAGATACATTAGATTTTATTTAAGAAGTGGTTTATATATTTTTCTATATTTTTTTTTTGAAGAAGAAGAATATAGGAATTTGGTTAGTTATGTGGGTGTTGATTATCCATCAATTATTTTATTAAATATATATAACATTTTCTGCACTTTTTTAGTACTGTGCCATATAAACTTTTTGCATAGAGAGACAAAAGAGTTAAAAGCTTTAAAGAAAGAAATGGGGATATCATTATAACATTATCATGTTTCCTAACTAAATTTTCCTTAATAAACAAGAAGACAATAATTATGACAGACATAATTTTATGTCAGGAACAAAGATTTAGTTAAGCCCTGTTTCTTGTGTCAAGTCGTGAGAAAATTTACCAGCTGTAGAATTATCTCATGTGCAGGAATGTATTTTATAATGCAGTAGAATGATACCTTGGCGTGTCAACATGTCCACAAAATGTATGTTATTGAGTGAATAACAGATAAAGTTTGACTCTTTGTTATACACATGGCTTAAAGCTGCTCCTCTCCAGATCGGAAAAAAATATAATTGTATACAATGTAGGTTCTGCTTTGGATGTTTTATTTAGAATTAAAGTAGCTTATAGGATTATTTGTATGACTGACAACTTTGTCAACATTTAGACTTTATAAAACTACAGTTTAGGTGGAAGCTGCTTAGGATTGGGGGGGGGGGGGGGGAGAAAATTCATATTTTGTTGTTACCAGGGAAAAGTATTTCGAATAAGCACAGAAATGTATTTTTGACATGTCTTATCTATATTGTATGTATGTGTTTGTTGCAGGAATAATTAGAATGATTACTTAGAAGCATAACAAGGGTGTATGCTGGATAAAGCATGATAGAAACTAAACAGTTCTATAATAGCCAAATTATATATCTATGATTTATGATTTTTCTATAGTCAAAAAATATTGACATGCTAAAGCTAGATTCAGAAATATTTTTGTTCTGGGTCAGAATTTGCTTTCAGAGGCGAGATATTGCCCAGACACGAAAATAACACAATATTTCGTGGCGCAGTATAATTAGTTGGACTAGATTTTTCAACTGAAGCTTGTTGATCTAAGTAAGATTAAAAATACAAAAATAATAAGATGTATACATGGGTTTGAAGATTTAATGTTATGAATTAACTGTAAAAAAGATAGGATTCTTATAATTTGTCAAGATAATAAACATTACTCATTTATATTTTTAAAAAAAAAACAATCACTAAAATATCAGTGTCATTTAAAGAAAATGAAGATAAAGCTTTACATGCATTGTCAGAAGGTCTCAAAAGAGAAAGTTTAAGGGAGTTAAAGTTTAACAGATTTCAGATTTAAAATACATACAATCTACCAATAGAATACACAGATGTACAGCTATTCAAATAACTTTAGGTCCAAGCATACTGGTTTTAAAAAGCCATCCGGTTAGCTCAACAGGTTACTGTAAGAGTGTTGAACTGTGAATCGGGCAACATGGGTTCGATTCCCGGATGGTGCAGGTCACTTTTAGTGTGATAGATCATTAAATCCTTTCAATGGTCATTCGCACTGTACCTCTGCTCTGGTATGTACAGAAGTTTCAGTTCCTTGCGCTAGTACTGGTAAACTGCTTGACAGCCTGCCAAGGAACGTTGCGTAGGTTGAACTGTGCTCTGGAATTGCGGCTTTCTGCCGTGATCTGGAGTAAAAACTACCATCACTACAAACCACATGCTGGTTTAAAGGAATTAGGCTTAAAAATGTTAGATGTGACATAAATGTAAGGGTTACTCTTTTACAAATTGTCTTTAAATATTCCACTGCGCTTATATGACATTTAGGCAGTTTTGCTTCCATAAGTAAATGTTAGCATTGATTTCATGGCGACAGTGGTAACTGAAGTTAAAGAGATGAGAAGAGGTACTTTGCTCTGCACATAAATGTAAAATGATTCCAATTAAAGTTGTAACAAGTGTCTGCTTAATTATTAATTATGTTAATAGTATAGGATTGATAATGGTGAAGAAAAGGGTGCTGCTATCAACATGGTTTATATTTCACTGGATGATTTTATCATATTAATGCCAGCTGTTTTAGCAAGCTCTGTGTACTGGGTCTTATCTTTAATCTCCTATAATAACTAAGTACATTCTAAGAAACATGTGTTCTCATCAGATCTAAATATTTTGTCTCTGTGTGCTAAGAATATGAAAAATAGTCAATGGTGTAACTTATTTTGAAGAATCAAAAAAGGGGCGATGGATATATTTGAAAATGGATTTAATATACATGTATTTTGTGGAAGCTCTATTGGCAAGTAATCTTTGTAGATTTCATTGTCTTATATCATACATTATTGTTATAAAGAAAATAATTCAAACTTTTATGATTGTCATGTGTATGTGTAGAAATGTTGAAAAGTGATATTTAGATATTATATAGTTTCATAATGTATTATAAACAAATCCACTCTTGCAACAGTTCATTTAAGAATTAAACTGAACTGGTCAGAAACAGAATAACTATGGCTTAATGTTTGAATACTTGTAGTTCTATAACTTCTGAAGCAAGTTTATTTTAAGTTATATAATATATCATAGTTAAAAAATAGATGATGAATTATCATTGATTACTTTCAATAATTACTACTTAACTGAACAAAATGTAATATAACATTCAATAACATATCATTAAATAGCAAATTTTCTAAATTATAACAAATCTGTCTACAATCAATATTATGTCATCATTTTAGTTTGATGTACTACTTGATATATAGTTAGCCCTGCTAATACATTGTTGCTGACCAGTGCTTATAGTATACTTTTCATCTATCAGTGTCCACCTTTGTTGGGTACAAGATTTTTGGACTACCCTAATTGCAGTATATTATAGTAGAATAATTAATACGGTATTGTAATTGTTTATGGCCAGAACTTGATTTTGTAGTCAAACATACAATGTTCACATTATAACTGATTTCTACCACAGATTTTGGAAAGAAAATTGCCTGTTGTTTTATATCACCTCACTTTTTCACTGAACTGTTTGACATATACTTAGCTGCTTTCAAACATGGTACACTTCTTTATGAACTTTGCAAGATTAAATGTATTTGCACTGTAATTTTGGAGAGTGTTGTCTTGTGGACATCTTGTGTGATGACTTGTAGTTAATTATTTAGAAACTTGTTTGTGAGCTATTGCACTTGATTATTTCATGTTAGAAGACAGGAAAGGTGGTGAAATATGATATATTATAGGATACTTTTCAAACTCTTTTTCTGAAATAAGGTATTACCATATATATAATTATGTGTCAAGTCAGTATGCGCTCTTTATTTCTAACACAGGAGTTAAAAAAGTTCTATGTGGCATTTTATGAAGTAAAATAACTTTATATTTTAGATGATTGAGTAGCTGGTAACCATGGCAATCCAGCGAGAGTTGAGTAACCAAGAGGAACTTGTCCATCAGTTAGATCCTGAACCAGTCTTTGATTATCTGTTGCAACACAGAGCTTTGGACCAGTCTACAGTTGAGGTGATCAGAGATGAAGAGAAGCTTGCAGACAGGAATATCAAGCTCCTGCAGCATCTTGAAGAACTAGGCAATCCTGCTGTTGAGTTATTCATAAATGCCTTACGTCAGTCTGGTCAGATGCATTTAGCCAGTTCTCTTGATGTGGAACACAGAATTAAACCTGTGTATGGGAAAGGTAACCATAAATTTTACTATACTCCCACCACATAAGGTGGAGGGGCTATACTGGAACTACAATGTTTTATCCGTTAGGCAGTTTGTCCACCTGTCTCCGCAGTGAAGGTCAAATGTCATACAATTTATGTGTATTTCTTCAAATCATATTATACCTCTTGAAGGATTTTCTGGGCTTGGCTCTTATGTTCTCCTCAACAAGGCAATAGACAGAACCATGCTGCAGCTGTGCTAGCTCAAGGGCAAGGTCACGCTTGAAGGTCAAGTGTCAGACAACTATTTGTCCCCTTTATAAATCCTATACTGTTACAGGATTTTTTCAGAATTGAAGATTTGTTAATTAACTTTATATCAATAAAGTGATGTGCATACCCCATGCTGTCATTATGCAAGGCCAAGGTTATACTGAATGGTTTTATCCAAGGTAATTCCAAAATATAAATCATGTCAATAATTGAATTTTCATGAAATTGGCCAGATCTTTATTATGTGTAATAATTAATTTATATGTAGACAAATTCTTCATGTGCTGAAGTATGACCTTGACCTTGTATTATAATTGACCTGTCATAGACAAAATAATTAAAAAGGAATTTGAGTTCTATAAAACTAAGTATAGGGGCGTCTGTGACCAAGGGTAGTTGGCTTCAAACCACTTGACCCTTACCGCTGTGGGCCCGAATTCAGATAGGGACTTTGGATTCTTTCATGTGAGGAAGTTATCAAGCTACCTTATAGAATGCTGGTGGTGCTTCTCAGCTGCCTGTGTCTGAAATAATGCATGGATTGGCACCTGAGGTCTTCCTCTACCAGTAAAGCAAGGAAAGTCGCCATATGACCTATACTGTGATGTAAAACCCAACCAAAAAACAAACAAACTTTGCTATAACTTTGTTATTAATTTTTGCATTTGGTTTATACTTTGACAGACCAAACTTTCAAATGAGAAATTAATGAGCTTTGACAGACTTATAAAGGATTCTATCAATTCACCTTATAACTATTTTTTTGCTGTAAATTTCAGGGTACTGGGAGAAACAGAGATACAAAGGCCAAATAACCATATCATTCCAGTTGGTCGCAGCTAAAGTTATGGTGCGTAAAGATTCCGCGGAGGATAAGTCTCCCAAAATAGTTGATATTAATGCAATGTTAACTCCTTTTAAAGTAAAACATTCCTATGAAAATATGACGCGTTTTGAAGATGAAGGGACTGAGCCGAAAGCTCGTAAAATTCTAGAGTACTCTTACGATGAGGATGACGATAAATCTTCTTGTTGCTGGTGCTGCCTGCCTTTCTTCTGTTGTGCTCCAAATTCACGTAAGAAAAAGAAACAAGAGTACGAAAAAAGTGCTAATTCAGTAATTGTGACCTCTAAAATTGGTGCTCACTTAGAAAAAAGTAGTTCTGATATTTCATTAAACTTTTGTGATGTTATGGTATCCTTGCCTTCACAACCTGCATCCCCAATTAAAAGTGGATCAACTTTTTTCAAAACACGAAAAATGTCTCCAACGAGTGAGTTAAGTTCCAGTCCAGAAAGTCCAATGTCTTTGTTGCCAAAGTCAGATTCAGTAGACAGGAACTCGAACAATCAATTAAACGAGGCAGTAGTTAACGCATCCCCTGTAACTGACACTGATGTTGTGTTTCGTGTTAACGAAGAGGATGTCAGTTTTAAAAGTACGAAATCTGAAAAAGTTGAGAAGCCAAAGAAGAAAAATAGTGCGAGGAAAACAACTAGTGATTCTATGTTGGAAATAAAAAATCAGAAAAATGGTCATATAAATAATGAAGGGAAAGGTCAGAGTATTTCTGATAATAAAGAAAACAGTGATCCACTGATAATTGGACTTGAAGGAAACATTAAAGATAAAAATGGGAAATGTAAGCCAAAGATTTCTCCACCTAAGTCATTAAAAACAGTAAAGTCAAAAGGAATGACGCGATCAGAGACATACGAGCTAGTGGAGCGATGGAAAAGTGAAGGATTTGCATATCAGATGGCCCGGGACCAGTTCTTTTCTTTTTTTGATAGCAATATCCAGAGTCGTATAGTACGATATTTTGAACAAGAACGTAGTACTCTTGTACTGCAAATTAGTGTTAGTGATAAAATGGCAGTGTGCACGATTTGTATGACGACGAAGGAAGTGCGAAAGCTGCGAGAGGATTACGAGATGGGTGTACTCCATGATGAACTTGTGCAATGTGTTGATCCACAAAATGTTGTCGATAAATTGGAATGTTGTGCAATTCATCTAAGAACTGTTATCGATGATGAAGACTTTGCTTTATCATATCAAGAACTAAGTTAGGACAATGATTACAAGGATGGCATCAGTCAGTGTTCATAGGGGATATTATGATGGTTTGGTGTTCACATGTTTAATTTATGAATTATGTTAAAAGCAAAGCTAGCTTTAATCTATGAATCATGGCTTTGTTAAAAAAAGCAAAGCTGGCTTTACTTGCAAACACCTGAATAATAAATCCATGTAAAGTCATGGACAAACAAAGTCAACTTGTATATATCATCTTTATTTATACATTTCATTTGTCTCTAATTTTAACAAAAACTTAATTCACTAGTAAAATCTAGCTTGACAGTAAAAAAGTTATGTACAAAATTTGGATGCAAGATTAGTCTAAGATGATCTTATGGATTTTTAGTTTTAAACAGTAGTTTTTTGCATTGTTTATTTGCACACCTTTTGTATTTCTAGTTACTAGAGTTTTTGTTTGCCACATATAGTTTTAAGATTTCCTACTTATGAGTGTGTCTGTAATTTGTATTATGCTGCAAGAATCTACATTATCCTTCAGAAACAAACTTCTTTTGAAAATTATACTGTTTAAATTTTGGTTTTAGAGAACAGTGTTTTTTTTTTCTCACTTTTGGGGAAGGGGTTTGATGCCTTTGGAGGGGAAAATGGAATAGGAGGGGAATTTATTTCTTCACAAATGAGGAGAAAAGAAAAAGAATTCAGTGCATATTTTATTATACCACTTACCACTGTAAGATTTACTGTTGATGTGACATTGTATTCTTTTCGGTAGAAAAGGGGAGCAACTCTCGCAACACAAGTTGAAAATACGTCCCTTTTTTTTAATATACGGATTTAAAATATCGACAGCAGACACCGGAAGTAGCTCCCCTTACTTATCGGGAACGATTTGTAAACAACCTTGCTTAACAGTAAGTCTTACAGCCATATAATCAAACATTTTTTGGCAGTTAGTTGCAAAAAATGATATTCATTACAGGCAAATTTAGGCTGCCATAAGGGGGAAAATTTTTGCTTTGAAGAGGGAAAAAAACATACTATTTTGAGGAGGGAATGAGGTCGAATTTTGCAGAATATTTTGTTGAACAAAAACACTGGATAATGTAAGATGCTTGTAACCTGAAGAAAGTAGTGATAAATTTGAAACATGTCCTTAAAAATAGCAAAATGTAAACAAATTATTATTTTGAATTCCATACAAAATACTAATTCACAATAATTACACTTGTTGACAAAATGCAACAAATGAAAAAGATGGTTCAGGTAATAGGCCAATGAGTATCTTTTGGATACTATAAAAGTACACCAAAATTATAAAGTTTTTGAGAAATAAAAATAAAAGCATTTCTGAGGCATAATGGGCATTTAAATATTCTCTAGTAACATTGCGATATATTATATTAATGTAATTATTATCATGATAATATTATATTAATATTATTATTATTTTAAGTATTATTAGTGTCATTCAAAATAAGACTAGCAAATTAAGTTAGAATATTATACATAACCAAAAGATGTCTTTAAATATATAGAAATGTTTTAACACATATGATTTTAACATATTATTCTTTTTCAACTGTATTTCAGTTTATTTGAAATGGCTATTAAGATATACATGTACTTTTATAAATGATGGCATAGTTTTAGATAGATTCTTATTATGAATTTTGTTTTATTAAGAATTTATTTGTTTTTAACTTTAAAATACTACTATTACTAGGAAAAAATAGTGACAGAAAAACTAGTGACAAATCTTTGTCAGGGCAGTATCCAGGGTTACCAGAAGGGAAAAGTCAGGGCTGTCACAAGGTTACCACAAGGGAGCAGTCTGTCAGGATACAACATTAGGTTTTAGGGAAACACTTATCTACCTGCAGATACAGATATAGACTGACTCGGCCATTTACTGGCAGAATAGGTCTGTCACTATTGTTTCTGTCACTTACATTATAAGTATGTGGGGAAAAGAGTTCTAAACAAATAAAAAAAGACATGTTATTTCAATACAAGTTATTCCATTGAAAACAATGGAATTACAATGTTTCTATATTTATTCTATACAGACATAAATTACCTCTGTATATCAAACATGTTATTTTGTTTTCATTTGACATACATTTTGTTTGTTGTTTTATTTCAATCAGTATTGTCTTTTAAATGGTAGTCAGTTATTTTACAAAATGTTGGCCAAAATATTGTGGTCCAATTCTTAGCATTTCTTTCTCATTTTAAAAGTTGTTCTTTCAGTTCAAATTGTTGTCTCTTGTTTTGTTTTGATTAAATGTTAATTTGAGTGTCATGTTGAACAAATTATGTTGTGATGCCGAATGTCTTCATGCCTATCTGTATACAATTTTATGTGCACTCTTCTCCATTTAAGCCCATTTAAGGATAGGTAAGTAGCCACTAGTAAAGAATCAGGCCAGCATGCACATGAGTTCAGTCAAAAAAAGGGGGGGGGGGAAGCTGGGCAAGTCCAATAAAAAAAATCAGCAGGCAAAGAGTCAGTGTCTAATTTCCATATCAATCTTAAAGCTGCATGCCTCAAGATGAGCCATAATATTTCTAAGATTTTAAGAAAAGTAAATAGATTCAAGTACAATGTAATAATTTACATGTTAAATATATGTGCGATAAATGACTGATTTGGCAGTTTTTATCACCATATTTCTACTGCATGACTAACACTATAAGGGCTATTTTTCATATTTTGAATTCTTCTTGGTAATTTACGTAGATTGTAAGTGCTGTTTGCAATGTGCAAATTATTTTCACAATAAGACTTCACAATATTTTATTATGCCCCCATTTCGAAGAAAAGGGGGTATATTGCTTTGCACTTGTCGGTCCGTCGGTCTGTCGGTCCGTCGGTCCGTCGGTCCGTAGACCAAATGGTTTCCGAGTGATAACTAAAGAACCCTTAGGCCTAGGAACTTCAAACTTGGTATGGTGATTGGTCATGACCAGTAGATGAACCCTATTGATTTTGGGGTCAAGGGGTCAAAGGTCAAGGTCACATTGACCTTGTAAGCAAAAACGGTTTCCGATCAATAACTAAAGAACTTTAAGGCCTAGGAACTTCAAACTTGGTATGGTGATTGGTCATGATCAGTAGATGACCTCTATTGATTTTGGGGTCAAGGGGTCAAAGGTCAAGATCACATTGACCTTGTAAGCAAAAACGGTTTCCGATCAATAACTAAAGAACTTTAAGGCCTAGGAACTTCAAACTTGGTATGGTGATTGGTCATGATCAGTAGATAACCCCTATTGATTTTGGGGTCAAGGGTCAAAGCTCAAGGTCACATTGACCTCTTGGGTAAAAACGGTTTCCGATCAATAACGAAAGAACCCTTAGGCCTAGGGACTTCAAACTTGATATGGTGATTGGTCATGATCAGTAGATGACCCCTATAGATTTTGGGGTCAAGGGGTCAAAGGTCAAGGTCACATTGACCTCTTAGGTAAAAACTGTTTCCGATCAATAACTAAAGAACCCTTAGACCTAGGAACTTTGAACTTGGTATGGTGATTGGTCATGACCAGCAGATGACCCCTATTGATATTGGGGTTAAGGGGTCAAAGGGCAAGGTCACATTGACCTTGTACAGTACGCTCACCGCGGGTTTTGCTTTTTCCGCGATACCACCGCGGACGATTTTTTTCTATCGCGGACAAACGCGGGGGCTCGTCCGCGATGAGAAGCCTGATTTCCCCGCGATCCCAGGTGTTCAGTTGTTTCCACCGCGGACAAAATTCTGACGACCGTTCTTCATTTATCGATAAAATCAGTCACCCGTTTCCCGCGGGGGAACGCCATGGTCAGTTGGTCAGTATTAATTAACCTCCAATAATAATAGACGTTTTATTATTTTTTAACGTCATCTTTTTTACACAATGACTTGAAAATTGACCACAATCGTCTCCTTAACCCATTACTTCATATACACGCCTTTTAACGCCTTTTTTCACCCCCCTTTTTTTGTTGTCTCAAATGATGAAAAAATGCCTTATTTAGGCCCCAAACACTTGTTTTTGTTTGAGAAATGTTGTTAAAAAAAAGTGACCTCTTTTTCGGCGCGGCCCCCAACCAAAAGATACATCAGGGGGTTGCCAGAAGGGGTATGTGCCCCCTTCTGTTTTGGGGGTTTGAAGGGGCGGAGTCCCCCTCATCGCCAAGAAAATTTTGGACTTGTGAGAGGCTACAAATGACCCCAGATTGATCAAAAGGTAACGTGTAACCAACGCTGAAAAGCATTTGACTAAATATCAATCCATTGAGAAATTTTGATGGAAAACATCAACGCAAAATAGTGATTTTTGGCAATTTTGAGATGTCCCCTTGTTGCCATGGTAACAGAAAATTTAAGCCTGAGCATGTTGTTGCAAGGGCAATGGTCCAGTTAACATTTGTGCCAAGTTTGATTAGTGTTGAAGCAGTTTTTATAGTATTATAGCAATTTGAACTTGTAACGGGAGACTTTTCAATGAAAACAGCCATTTTTCACAAAATGCTCATGAAGTAATGGGTTAAATGTTATTATACGTTAAATTATTTGAACGGAATTTGAAATAAAAATAATTACAGCTGTACCTCTTTTTGTTGTTGTTTTTAATATTTTTGTTATAAACGTCCACAAAACTATTCGTCCACATACCAATATTTTTACAACTGAAATCGTCATTTATCACTGTCAACTTTACTTGTTCATTCCTTGTGGTTCTATAAGTATTATTGCTGTTAAACTATATGGGAGCCATAAATATGATACTCAGTAAAAAAAAGGATATTTGTGCTGATTTCTCAATGATGACTGACGCTACAGTACATGTGCTGTAAGAGGTCGATGAGTGTGAATACAAGACAGGACATAAATAAAATACATGTACATATATTAGGAATAAAAGAAAAATTGTTGAGGGTTACGTTTTCAAAGTTTTTAAATAAGAAACAAAAGTTGGCATATAAATTGTTGTAGTATCTTTTCCATAAATGTCATATGCCGATTTTTTCATTATTTGACTTCAAGTTTCTCACTACCATGAAGTTGCGACGACAATGACAACCGGTGTTTGACCGCCGCGTTCCTCCGCAATTTACCACTGCGTTCCGCGGGGGAAACGGTTTCAGCTGCCGATTTATGTCCGCGGTGTTGAAAATTTTCTGTCCGCGGGGTCACGCGGACAATATCTGAGCAAATTTTCGTCCGCGGTAAACCTCATCCGCGGGGTCACGCGGGTTTTGAAAATGTCGCGCTGAGCGTACTGTAGGTAAAAATGCTTTCCAATCAATAACTTAAGAACCCTTAGGCCTAGGAACTTCAAACTTGGTATGGTGATTGGTCATGACCAGCAGATGACATATTGATTTTGGGGTCAAGGGGTCAAAGGTCAAGGTCACATTGACCTTGTAGGTAAAAACGGTTTCCGATCAATTAACTAAAAACGCTTAGGCCTAGGAACTTCAAACTTTGTATGATGATTGGTCGTGACCAGCAGATGACCCCTATTGAGTTTTGGGTCAAGGGGTCAAAGGTCAAGGTCACATTGACCTTGTAAGTAAAAACGGTTTCTGATCAATAACTTAAGAACGCTTAGGCCTAGGAACTTCAAACTTGGTATGGTGATTTGTCATGACCAGCAGATTACTCCTATTGATTTTGGGATCAAGGGGTCAAAGGTCAAGGTCACATTGACATTGTAAGTAAAAACGGTTTCTGATCAATAACTAAAGAACGCTTCGGCCTAGGAACTTCAAACTTGGCATGGTGATTGGTCATGAGCAGCAGATGACCCCTATTGATTTTGGGGTCAAAGGTCAAGGTCACATTGACGTTGTATGTTAAAACGCTTTCCGATCAATAACTAAAGAATCCTTAGGCCTAGGAACTTCAAACTTGGTATGGTGATTGGTCATGACCAGCAGAGGACCTATTGATTTTGGGGTCAAGGGGTCAAAGGTTAAGGTCACATTGACCTTGTAGGTAAAAACGGTTTCTGATCAATTAACTAAAAACGCTTAGGCCTAGGAACTTCAAACTTTGTATGATGATTGGTCGTGACCAGCAGATGACCCCTATTGAGTTTTGGGTCAAGGGGTCAAAGGTTAAGGTCATGACCAGTAGATACTTGATAACCCTTATTAATTGTTTGATCACTGGGTCAGAAGTCATGCATAATAACCTTATCACATGACTAATTGGCTACTGATAGGGGGCATACATGTTTTACAAACATATCTTGTTTTAAAATACATTTTCAATTTTTTTCGGCAATTAGCAATCTGGAGGCTGTCATTTAGTGTCTCTATACATGTAGTAGTGTTTATATTAGGTTTAACCACTTAAGGAGTATTTTTCTACTTTTAATCATGATTCCTGTAACAAACATCTAGAGGTACTCCAGCACTGTAGTGAGTTAAATCCAAAGTCAATTAAGTTTGTTAACTAAAGTATGCATATATAGACTTTTCACATTGGCTGTGCCACTGTACCATTTTCTGTTTTGTGTGTTTTAATGTTTGAATTGATTTGAAGAATTTGATTTTAACCCTCGAAACTTCCTTTCTTAAAGTGTTCTAAGTAATTTTTTAGTGCAATTTTTTCAGCTATGTTTATACATGTAGTTTTTATATATATAATTTTTTTTACAATATTTCTAAGCATTATGTACTGCCTTTTATTACCTCATATTTTCAATTTGTATCTTCTTAAACTTGTTTGTAGAAATGCTGTATGTTTTAATGTTTGTTGAAATACTGTATATTCCATGGATAAATTCATTGAAAACAGTTTTATAATGAATGGTTACCAGAACTTGAACACCAATGATGCACAGTACTGTTCATTTTGTGTACAGTGTGTTTAACTGTGTTCATATAGAGTAACAATAGTGGCTGTAAGTGTAATGCAGCATTTTGTTACCACCACCCCACCCCCTTGGAATAGCATGGACTTTAAATTTTAGATTCTCAAACCATTGGTTTTGGTCACACACCATTGTTTGTCATTTCACAGGTTGATACATCTAATAAAGTGTTACTGTAGGCTATGTTAGAGTTATGCAAATAATTCAATATTTTTTTCATGATTTGAATTTTTTTGTTGTTGAAAGTTAATAGTTAATTAATAACGTGCATGTAGATCATTATATAATGGTAATCAGTAGATCATGAATTACTTATGCTTCATGTTGTCAGCTTATCCAATACAAGGCATATTTTCTAGTCTCAAGTTGAAGGTCACTGGAATTTTACATTGTTGACCATATTAATCAGAGTTGCAGAATTACAATATTTCAAAGGACCTGTAATGAATGATAAGTTATGTAAAAGAAGTTACTAATGATATATAATATGTTTTTAAGTAAAATTCTTCCAGATGTATAATTTTCTTATTATAGGACAAACAAGTTTGCGTTACCTGTAGTATAATACAGTATAAATATTTTGATAATTAAGACAGATGTTGTCGCAGAAGCTATATTTTCTCTCCTGTTTGCTGTCATAATGTTGTTGTTGTTTTTGTTTGCTGTAATACTATACCTGTGTGACATTTTAATAGTTTTTTGACAAATGATTGTGATTTTTTAAGTGACATGTACCAAGTACATTATAAAGCCTAATAAAAATAAAAACTATATTTCAAACACATGTTCCTTATTTCTTTTAATATTTTGAATTCTTTGTAAGAAGAGCCCTACCTACTTGAAGGAAAAACAAACTGGAAAGCAATGGAAGGTGACCCTTGTTTGTCTCTTTATGCACCATAGATGTAATAACTGACTTCTGATATATA